AAATAAGCAGATAAAAGAACATAACACGTGGTGACCTTTTTCTTCTTTCCCCTACCACACTAGCTTAGAGCAGCTCTGTGTTCACCATATGCATAGTCATTGACTGTGACTAATGGAGATAATGCACTACATTTCATAATACTGATCTCTTTGGCTATTTGAGAAAAACTCAGAACTGGATGTCTTTACTCTAAAAATATTTATCACAACAAATCTTCGGGCAAATTTCCTTTGAAAAAATACTCTTAAGAGAAACTTTCTAGAGAAACTAAGACATTTGTCAGAGTGCGAAGAACCTCCTCCCTCTTCCTCCCCTGTTTTGGATAAGCGCTTAATCCTCTCAGATGTTTTCTCCTGTCGAATGTTTTACTTGCAGTTTAAGATGGTGTTTAAAATTTTCAAAATTCCTTCTACGAGTGTATTCCTCTTCCCCCTAAAGTAAATGGACTTAAACTGATGTTAGAAGCCGGCACAGATGTTAGAAATTCCAGCCCCTTTCCAGAAAGGGACCAAGTGTGCGTGTTGAGATAACGTCCCTTTTAAGCAAATTCTTGTTGCCTCCTTGAACCTACAGTGCAGTTGTCAGCATCCCCAGCGTGGGCACCCATCACCCAACTGTGGGTCAGGAGAGGTCCGAGATCCTTCCCAACACAAAATTATCTGCTGAATGACAGCTTATAACATTTTCTATGCTGAATCAGGGAGGCAACTTACTCTGAAAACAGTTGGCAACTTCCCACTGCTATGCAGAAGACCAAAAACTTTGGAACTCAAAGCTGGATGTATGGATTGAGGGCAGAAATTCTACGGGATCTACAGCTGAGGGGGGAGGGGAAGTAAATATTGTTTTAAAATGGACAACAATGTAGATAAATAAGCTGGCTGTAATAGCTTTACAAGCCACAAATACATACGAGGTGGCACAAGCTATCAAAATCTATATATTTCTGATTGACTTTTTCACTCACCCCTTATTAAAATAATCTAGAAGGGAAAAAAGAAGTCACCTATACTCAAATTAAATATGCAACCTCATGTCACCCACTGCCCAGGAATATCTTGTTGCATAGGTCCATTAACATAGGTCAATCATTTAGGAAATCAAATTATTTAGAAAAATCTAAATGATTGACCTATGTTAATTTCAGACAAAGTATGTGATTTGTTTGGATAATTTTCTCCAAGCTGAATGGCACACTTCATGGTCACATCTGACCTCTGACTTTGACATTTCACACAGGACCAAATGGCTTTGTTTCCATGCTGAAGACCGTTTTAAAATGTACACCCTAAAAAGCCTTCACTCAAAAGTTTACCTGCACCCCTATGTCTACTGCTGCTCTATTTACAATAGGGAAAATGTGGACTCAACCCAAATGCCCAAAAATAGATGACTGGATCAAGAAGATGTGGCACATCTACACAATGGAATATTACTCAGCAATCAAAAGAGATAAACGCATGCCTTTTTCAGCAACATGGATGGAGCTGGTCGTGCTTAGTGAAATAAGGCAGAAAGAAAAAGAAAAATACCAGATGGTTTCACTCATAGCAGGAGCGTAAGGGATGGGGAGGGGGAAGCAATTGTAATAAAGTAAAAATGAACATCAACAAACAACTATAAACAAGAGACACTCTATGGGGGTAGAGAGGGAAATAGGATTAAAACTGGGGTGGGAAAATTGTGCATAGGACTATGGTGATGGCACAAAGGTGAAGTGGTGGGAAGTCCATGGGGATTACAAACGAGATGAGAAAATGTACAAAATGAAGAATGATGTAAAAAATATATTTATTTTTACAAAACTTACAACCAGAAATTTAAATTTCTGATTCCGTGAGGTAAATAATTTCTTATAAATCAAGAATTTAGGTTTGATTTTAAAGAACAATACGAAAACGTAAATTTGAAAATAAAATATTACAAATGTTTGAGAAGATAGTTTCTTATCAGACATTCACCAACACCTATCAGCCCAAGGTTGTCTCACTCCTGCTAGTATGGAAATGATACATTTTTAAATTATTAAATTATTCTGATTTCCTAAATTCATCTCAAATGTCCCCTGATATGTCACTTATATTTTTTGTTGTCCAAATGCTTACATGGTTTACATTTTATCAAGTATTTCCCCCACATGGACCAACTACGAAAATGCATGCTTAAAATCGAGATCTTAGAAGGTATTCATTGTATGTGTCTAAATCTGGCTAATCATCTTTATAGATAATGCCATTTATTGAACAGAAGTCAGGTGTTAACAGGAGCAGAAAGGTCATGGCAATTCTTGACTAAAGCCAAGAACTCTGCATTTAGAAAACTAAATACACCTGCAAGAATGAAAGTTCTGCTCAGAAAAAAATTACCTTGTGATGCAATCTTCGTAACAATACCAAGAATGGATACCTTAAAACAAGCACCAAAACCAACCTTACTCCCCCATAGAAACTATCTTACTCGTCACCATGCGTCAGATTTTAGCTTACTTAATATAGTAAACAGCAGTTCTCTGAAGACCAAATATAATATATGTGAATAGCAATTGGCTTCTATTATTGTCATGAATATTATTTGAACAGTCACTAATTTATCTGAAATAAAAGGCACTTAATAAAAATCAGTAAACAGATATGATGAAGTGGGGGGAAATTAATCTTTAAACCTTATGCAACAAGAACTGTAATCCTTATTGTTTTGAAAGCGGTCAAACTTCTCTTATGCATTACTATAATGACATCACTAAAATAACCAGAAAAAACATAGGTTCTCCCCCAAATTTATTTACTCTGCAATCCACCACCAGAGAATTCCATCCAAAGCTCTAGCTCACAAAACTTCCAACCAAGGAGAAGACAGCTCATTTTGCGGCTGTGGGCAATCTCCCCGCTACGTTTTCCTCAAAGATGGCTGATGAAAACAGCACCTCATAACTACATAAAAATGGTTGCTCAGATTAAATTATGCAAACGTAGTTTCAAAATAACCTGCTCAAGTTTCAGCACATTAAAGATGGACCTGCAAAGCATTTGCCATGTTACGCCTGGTTCCAGCGGAATTTCCGTGGGTGCTGAGGGGAGCGCAAAGTCTAAATCGTCCTTATAAAGAAAGACTTTGAAACATAAGCGCACAAACACCAAATCCCATGGGCACACTCACTGGCCTTGGACCTGGCCCCTGAACGCTGATCTGTCATCAGGTGCTTCTTTGAGGTCCCCATTCTGGACTACAAGCAGAAGGAGCCATCTTTGAAAGTTCAGTCTTATCGGAAAGTAAGATATTCCAGAGATGGAACTCTCGAAGTGGGAGTGAATTTTAGGGTAAATTTATTTATTACATGAGATACACAAAAATATACTTTTAATGATCCATTTCCCACAGAATGGCATTTGTCAACCTGGCAATATTTCATAATCAGACACCCACCTACAAAGGTTTTTCTGTAAAGATAAACTTCCTAATCTTTTCCTAATTAAAAGTAAATGACAAAAAAACTGTAGTATCATTACAATATTAAATCAAATTCGATACATTTAATGTGCAGACCAATCCCAAGCCAGAAGACACTGGCCTGGTAAGAAGCACATTACATATTTCCCCGTTAATAATTGATCAGGTAGGATTTTTTTTTAATAAGTTAACTTTAGGTTTTAAAACTTTTTTCTGTTGGTTTTTATAAAGAAAAAGTTTAAGTAATGATGCGTGTAAATTGTCAATCCTATTTAATAAGATTTAGCTGATTTTATAAAACAATAAGTAACAGAATAACAAAATATTTTTACTTTCAAATAGTTGAAAAGCAGTTGATTAAAAGTGATATAAAATCAAACTAAAGCAAAAGTTGTCCCAGTCAAAAAAGGGAACCATTTTGTTCTGAAATATGATACTCGCTTTCTTTGATGTCAAACTTGAATTCCAGCTATCCTTTCTATTGCATAAGTCAGTCTTTGAACCAATATTTAAGCCATTTACTTCCACTTCCATCCCATCCCGGTTATTTCTCGACTCCAGTTTGATAAGTTTATGTAACTCAAAGCATCAATGCAGCAGCGCTAAAAATGACCTGCTCTGCTCCTTGAGTTGGCTGTTGGACCTGCAGTCCTCTCTTTTGTCAGTTTCAGGACAGCCTCAAAGCTCAGAGGTGCCTGTACTTCTTAAACTAGTTTAGAGAGTTCATTACAAGTTGCGGAAAGTCCTTTAGAGTAAAGAGCCAGCGAACAAACCAACACCCTAGGCCTTAAACTGTCAAACAAAAGTGATCGAACAAAACATCGCGGTTTTACTTCTAGGCCCCCAGATGGGCTGAAAGCGCTTCTGGGGCCCGCTGATCACCCCGACCTACTCACGGCTTGGGAAGGGGCGCTCTGAAAATTCACGACCCAAGTCGCATAGTTCACGAATCGCCAGATGGAAGCATGAATGGAAAACGGTGGCGTGGCTGAGAACTCTGCTCAAGGGCCTTCTTCAAAAGTGTAAACAGTTCTTTCAGGGCAAAGCAAAATATGTTGTTTACAAACCCTAGCCACCCTTTCCCCCCCATGTCACGATGACTCCGGGAGCAGCACTAAAGCCGGTCTCCCCGTAGCGGGTTTCCTTACACACCCTCACGCGCGCACACGCTCGCGCACAGCTCCCCAAACACGCCCGCGGCCTCTCAGGACCAGAAAGATGAGCTCTCGCCTCTGGGTGAGCTGCCCCAATGTGAGCTACTCTAGTTCCAAATAGCCAGTAGCAGCCCCGAAGAGAAGAGCAAGGCAATGCGGAGCACAAAGGGATTTTCCTCCAGGAACTTGACTTCCCTGTCCCCCAAAACTCCTCGATTTTTACACGTCTCTCGCAGCCAGAGTGGCACCGACCGCCGACCGAGTGGGCTAGAAAACTTCCAGCGCCAGGCGGCCGACAGCAGTTTAGAAGGAACCTAGAGACCAAGTCACAGAGGGGGGCGTCCGGGCGCGCTCCCCCAGCGCCCCCCGGCGCCCCGCTCCCGTATCCCTCCTCTTACTTTTGGATGATCTGGGGTAGGCCGGCTTGGGGCGGCGGCGGCTGCACCCCTCGCGGCCCGGGAGGCGCCGAGGGCGCCGGGGCACCGGGCACGCTGCGGGCATCTCTGTCGGGCTGCTCCGGGCAGCTGGGGTCCGCGTCCTGGCTCATGGCTGCGGCCCGCACCATGGGAGGTGACGCCAGCCCCGGCTCGCGGCGAGAGAAGGCGCCCGAGGGGCGGCCCCGTGGCCCGGGCGCTCACTGGCCGGGGTCCCCGTGCCCAGTCCCCTTGTCCTTCCCGGTGGCGCGGGGAG